ACTAGAAACACAGCTGATCGTAACCACACTGGTACTCTGTGTCACTTTGCAGGAATTCACGGAGGGTTTGAATTTCACTGTGAAGTTTCTCAGTAAGCCCCAGAGGTGTGGCATGCAGCATGATGTGTTAGTGAAGATAAACTTCAGGTAGAAGATGTCACTTGGTCTCCTTCCTTGTTGATAAAGCCCTGTTTGATATGTGACAGTGAGAGAGAATGTGCACATTTTAGCTAATGGAAACCAACCGAGAGGCCATTTGCAGCGCAGTACCAAGAAGTGGTGATAGCTTTGTCTGACTCTTTACAACTGATAATAGGTGATTTTGAGTAGCCTTGGAAGTCAAGAGGCAGAAACATAAACTGTAAACTCGAAATATAGAGCCCCAAGAGGGCCTTGGTAAAGCACAGGGATCTTTTCAGCTCAGGGATCACGGACTCCTAGTGGCAGATACCAGCAAGCAGGGGAACGTACCACTGTCAAGGGGCCCATGAAAGCATCAGCACCAAAGCCAACAATCTCCTGTCCTCCAACGACGAGCAAGGGAAAACGCTTTGCATCGCACAACAGCAACTGTTTCTTGCAGTTTATTTAGAAGTGCGTGTTTATAGGTACGTGCTTCCACCCTTAATGTATAACTAAAGCCCTTGAGTTGACCTTTTTAATAACTGGCATGAATCATCACTATCTGTACGGAACACAAAAACCAGACATAGATTGAAATGTGCCTTAGTTTCAATGTAGAAACCATGAAAAATGCTCATAATGTGATTTAGACTTTTGCTCCAGAAGCAATTAGCATTTAGATGATTAGCGCTAACATTAGAGTTTTATTGTTATTTTTAGAAAGAACACAATTATTTTACAAAGCTGGGTCTCTGTTTAGATTCGGAATATTTTGTGTTGGTATAACAGCATTAAATATATTGTCTGCAGTATCTCACCCTTATGCTATAGGTTATGTCAACAGCAAATTCCTGAAAGCAATGTCAATGAAACATGAAATTAATTTTGTGTGGCTTACTGGCTTTTGCCAAAACAGCAGTCATGTCTTTAAAGTGGTTACTTAAAATGCAGCTATGTTCTGTCTATGGAAAGTTTAATTTTTCTCTTAGGACTTGGTCCTTTTATTATTCCTCCTCACCTGACTGAATGATATCAAAATCCACATGCTTTTGTGGCATTTTGTGCCTGAGAGATCCTAAGATGGTTCCCAAGTGGGGCCTACAGTAAATTTGAACATTTGTCTGCTGGCTCCTGATGTATAAGTGGCAGTATGATGCTTTTCATAAAGAGGAAAAAAATAAAGGTCAAAGGACACAGTAATAAATCTGAGGATGTGGGCTAGGACCAGATCACTGGAATGCTTTGGGGAGAGAGATTTGATCCACTTCGAATGTCACAGATTCTATGGTTTCCTGTGGCAGGAAAAACCTTTGAAGCTCAAGTTCTTATTGTACATTGTCAGAGCTGAGAGAGGGGGAGAAAACCAAATGTCATATTTTCTGCTGATTCCAATCCCTTCTCCCTGCTCTCACTAAACTAAACATTTAAGCTCTCATTGGGGGAAAGTGGGCAGCTTCCAGTGCTCACAATGAAGGCTCACTGGACATTCCAGAGAAAATGACATTGTGCCCTTGGGGGAAGTCATGATAAAAAGACAAAATTGAGTTGAACTGTTAGAATGCTTCATGCAGTCAGGAAGAAAGGGATTCATCCTCTTCTCAAATTCTTTGCATACCTATTGGGTTGAAGACGCCACAAGTTGGCATCCTCTCTATGGCACATTTAAACTAGAAAGGAGATTTCCCAGAAATTCCTTACTGCGAGGCAAGCATTGTCATTGCTAAATGTTCAGCAAATGTAAGATCATGTCGGTGGCCACCATATTTTATATTCCACAGGTCAGGAAGAACACTGAGAACATAAATAAGTACCAGGCATCTTGCTAGGACTTGGCAGAATGATAATTTTATTTATTTGTTGCATAGTCCTCATTGTATGGATAGTCTATACTTCAGTAAAGACGAAATTTCACAGCTGCTAGATGAAGAAAAAACAGATCTGGATTTTTATTCTGATTGTAAGTTACAGTGATGGTCAGATGAAGGAATCAGGACTTGTACAGGAGATGCCGAGTTACAGAAAGAAAAAGAACCAAGAGAAGGAGAATAAACCAGTACTGTGCTTCCATTAATAATTCTGCCAGATAACATCTGCCTTATTTCACAAAGGTAGCATAGGAAAGCTCACAAGTATAGGAAAGAAAATAAATTTGCCAGTAGTAAAAAATAGAAATAAAGATACCTATGCACAAATACAAATGTTAGAGAATTCGGCCCATTTTTTCCTTGAAGTTTTTGTTTGCATTGAACAAATTTCCACTCGAAGTATTTTAGGCTTTTGCTTTTTTTTTTTTTTTTTTTGGCTTTTTCCCCTCTTCTCTCCCTCTTTCCCTTCTGCTGGAAAGAAGAGAACTGATAAATTTTAGGGTTGCTTGTGTGCCATCTGTAACTTGTTTTGAATAGAAGTGCTTCCTTTGTGGGTGTGTCTTGCTGTAAATAACTGTTCATATTTTTGTAAATTCAATACTATGTACCATTGTATTATTGGGCCTCTCACAAAGCAAAGCATAAACACACTGCATTTTCTCACAGATTGGAAAGAGAAGAAGCAGCGAAACCCTGTTGGTGCTGGCGAAGGAGGATGCTAATCATTCAAGTGGAGATTCTTAAGGCAGATTCTCTCCAACGAGTTGTGGCCCAAATTAAGGGTGGCTCCATTTGTTAGGGTGTGTGCATTATATCATAATTTATTCTCTTATCAACTATATAAATTATTTCAGTTGTCACTTTTGATCTGAATGATGACTCTATCAGACAAGAAAATAAATGAAACCGGCAGTGTTTACAAAAAGAAAGATGACAGTTCCTCCAGCCTGTGGTCCAAAGGGGAAAGTGGATTGTTGGTTTGAGAAGAGAGTACCATGGAGCTCAGAGAACAATGTCCAGGCCTGTTTTTTAGGTGAAAGGCGTGAGTCTCACCAATTATTTTTATCTTTTTATTTTTGGATGGACAAGCTAAGATATTTTGCCTGAAAACATTCTTTGAACTCTCTCAATTTATTCCTTAAGGCCAGGTTTCTGACTTTATATTTATTGACCAAGCTAGTTTGTGGAATTAAAATATCTTTAAAGGATTCTAGGTGTGACAAGCCTAGGATAACAGAAGTGTGAACAAGCTGACCCATATGGGTGATCTGGGGTAACCTTTTGTCCTGGAGTTGCACTGGTGATGGTCTAAATTTTAAACCATTCCTCACTGTGAATGACACACTGCTAAACTGACGGGATAAATGTGCTCAAAACAAAGGGAGTATTCACTGTAATAACATTTTTAAGCAAATGATTCTCCATCACACTTATAGCAATGTTTGTCAAATAACAGCATGGTGGACCCTCTTCAACCTACACCCAGAATCCGGTACTGTATGAATACCGATTCTTCTCTAAAGTCAAAATGACCATGAAGGGGGGTTGGGAACCCATGCAGTAAGTTTCAAATCTCCTACAAGGTGCTATGGAGCATGGCAAGAGAGAGAGCAAGGGACAAATGGCAGAAAACAGTGGTCTAGGATGGCCAGGAGGCAGCCAGAACCTTGGCATTTGTTGGCTGGGGAAAATGGTGAAGGAACTATCAGATGACTCAGAGGACAGAAGTAGTTTTAGGCTAAGAAGGACCTCACCTTGGAGTGTTTTTAGTTTTAGTAGTTTAAGTAGTCTTGATCTTAGTAGTCATAGTGTAGGTAAGAGAGAATGGCCCATCCTAATTAGAGAATAGCAAATCTCTGAAGGCTGATACCTATCATCCCAAGCTTCCATTCTTCCTTTAGAGAAGTATACAAAAGTAGCCATTGTGAACTGCTGCAAGAGTGGTGAGATGAAATCACCCGTGAGGACCTGGTTTGCTACCAAGCACCCGGAGCACCATGGTGCCTCCCACTCCTCTGCCTGTGTCCACCTCCTGGGTCATGTTTCTCCAGGACTCCAGTCACCCCTCCACTTCAAGTCCTTCTTGTCTCAACTGCCTGCTCTGTGTTTTCCCTCCACTTGCAGCCTTGCTAATGACTTGGACTCATGGACTAAACATTGTTAGTGGTGAACCGGTCAAATTCCTCGACATATGGGGAAGCAGGAGCCTTTCTGCCCTTCTGAACCATTGTCCCACTTCACCCAGGTCTGGGGGAGGATGTGACTGTTAATTGGGATGTGTTAATTTACTTGGATTAAGAAACACTCAGGATATTAATAAAGCATACTCTGGCTGTGTCTGTGTGGATCAGGGAGGTGCGATCTTAGGAACCACTAATGTCCCTGGCCCCTTCCTCTCTGGAATTGTTTCACTTCTCTGCCATGAGCTAAGACCCTTTGCTTTTGCTGCACCCTTCCTCCATGCTCCTGCCTCAGATCAATGGATGACCATGCACTGAAACCTCTGAAGCTGTGAACCAAAGAGACCCTCCTTCTTAAGATTGTGGGTGTTGAGTATTTGATCCTAGCAACAGAAAAGCTAATAGAGAAAATTGGCATCAGAGAGTTGGAGTGTTTGTCACAGTGATCTGCCCTAGTGGTTCAGAAGACTTTGGAACTTCTTTGTTGGAAATTTTGGTAAGATTTGGAGGTGTGGGGTAGAACTACTATGTTGTAAGTAGAGCTCAATGGGCCATCTTTGTCAGAGTTCAGAAAATGAGAATGCTGATGGGGATGTAGATGGTAAAGGTTGGGCTCAGGAGGTTTCCTCTGAGAATGAGGATTCTTTGGCGAGTTGGGCTAGAGAGGTCATTGGTAAGAAAAAATATTATCTGTATTATACTCATGTCCTGAGACTTTAAGTCAGGGGACAAAGTGATATAGTCGCATGGCATACTAGAAGTTGTTTTTAGCCAGATATTAGTAAGAAACAGGAGCAAAAAGTGCATTAGAAAAATTATAATTTAAATTTTGGCCCAAAAGGAAACACATGTAAAGTTGGAGCCAAACAAAGTGTTGTTACTGAGGAGATTAGAACTCTTAAAAATGAACTAAGTACTTTGCACATGGACAAGAAGAAAAATATCTTCAGGTCATCTCAAAGATAGCAAATCCCCAGCCATCAGAGATTCAATGATCCAAAAATGTTGAGCTTTCGTTTGAGAAGAGTAAACCTTGGAACCCTTCTTGAGAACAGCCTAGTAGGGGAATTGGTCCTCCAGGATTCATTTCACAGAGAAGCCATGGCAGCTGTGGTCAAAGGGACCTGCATGTTACTCTGGCTGGCAGAAGATCTTGGCATTGTCCATGTGATGCTGGTTTTATCAGCGTGCAGCATGTAAGAGTTGTGGGATCAAAGAGGCTCCAACCAGATTCCAAAGGAAGCCCTAAAAGGACTGGCATGGAGCCCCTGAAAGAGAAGTGCCTGAAACAGGGAGAATGAAGCCAAAAATATGGTAGAGACTTCAGGAAACTGGAGCTACTAGGGACATGGAAAGTCTGAGGAGTGACAATGCAGACCACAAATGGAGTCAGTCTAAGAGAGAGGCCATGTGAGCTGCAGCCATCAAGACCACCGGGGTAAGGTCGTCCGATATCTCACGATTTTGAGCTTCAAACATTGCAGATGGATAATGTTTGCCCTGGTCAGTCTGATGTTCACTGCCAAGAGTTTGCCCTGGGTCTCAGAAGAGACTTGGACTTGGACTTTTAAGTAATGCTGGAACTGCTGAGACTTTGGGGAGAGAATGACTACATTTCTGTCTGTATGCAGTTGTATCATGTTGGATGGAATTACAAACTTGCTGTTGTCTTTATTTGGAGGTTAAGCATGGTTGGAGATGTTGTCTGGCTTTCTAGTTGACAAGGATTGTAACACTAATTATTATATGGCAATTTGACCAGGGCAGGAGGCTGAGGAGGATCGCTGCAAATTTGAGGCCAGCCTGGGCTACAAAATGAGTGTACTGCTACCCTCATCTCCATAGTGAAACATTGTCTCAAACAAAATAAAACAAAAACAAAAATAAAAACAAAAACAAAGAATTTCCCAGGGGATTAGTCAAGTACATTTTCGAGTATGTCTGGTGGGTCATGAGATCATGATCTTGGGTACTATATTTAATTCCTGGCTGTTTCCTCCCTGAGATGGTTTCTGTTGCTCTGTCAACAACTAAATATCTTTGCTTTGCCAAAGCCTCTCCCCATGACACCACTGCTTCAGAGTGAGCCAGTAGTGAAACCTCTGAGACCATGAGCCAAACAAACCTCTCCATGAAGCAGTAGGAGTTGCATATCTGGTTCCAGCATGGGAGAGCAGACCTGTACCGGCAGTTGGGTGAGTGGAAGCAGGGATACAGTTGAGGGCAAATCCAGAATGTCAAGAGAGGGTGCCGGGCTATGAAAAACTGGTGCTGTCCTTTGTAATGCTTCCTTGACTGCAAACTTCTTGGTGTGTCCTGCCTTGGGTCATGGCTCTCTTTTCTTATATCCAATACAGATTCTGTCCTTTTCTTTCTCTTGTTCCACATCAGGTTGATGATGCCCATAGAGAAGCTTGAGCAGTATCCAGAGAAAGCAGATGTGGGATGGAGAGCTTAGGGGAGGTGACAGGTGCTCTTTCTCCTGGACACATTTTAAGTGGTCCAAATTCTTTTTTTGCTTTTCTTCACTGTCAGAGACATAAGATCTTCAAGATTTAAATTTTAAGTGAAAAAGAAAAAAAGGCCAGAGTGGTTCTTTAATCTGCTTTAAATCTAATAAGCAAAAGTAATTCTCCTGTTCACATAGGATGTTGGGCCACTGATCTGAGTGAAGCATCCCAGAAAGGAGTTGAAGACCACACGCTACAGCAATGACCACTACCAGAACTGCAGTCCACAGCTCACATAGATCTTGAAGGTTCATGGTCCCTACTCTTTCTCCTTCCTTTAGGCACAGCTAATATGTCCCTAGTCCACTGATATCTGTATTTTAACAGATAAATTTTTATTTTAACATTGTTCCTCCTCAAAAAAGTGGGAATTTTAAAAAAGGAGCAATTTCTATTTTTGATTCTTCCTTTCATTTTTATCACCACCTCAAAAACAAAAAAAATTAAATAATACTTAAAAACTAAAAAGTAGGGAAGAGTCTGAGAAGATGGCAAAACAGTAAATAGCAGAGTAAACAGCCTCTCTGAAACGCCCAGATGCTGGATGTCTTCATTGCTTTTTACTCATCGCTGAGACAGAAAACCTGAAGCCCAAAGTTTGGAAGGGAAAGGTTTATTTCTTACAGTTTTTGGAGGTTTCAGTCCATACTCAGTTGGCTCCAAGGCAAGCTGGCATGGCGGGCCGCAGTTCATGGCGGCTGCAAACAGCAAGCAGAAACCGGCAAAAGAGCAAGACACACCTCCTTCTTGCTATTACATCACATCCTGGCTCCACCCCTCTGTGGGTGTGGCACTGATGCCATCAATCCAAGCAATAGACAGTGAACCAATCACAAATGCACAATGCAAACTCATGAGGCCTGGGCACCACAGACATAAACCATGACACTGGAATAAAGCATTCTGGAGAAGACAAGAAGGAAAGAAGTGAGTTCCCTTAACCCAGGAAGAAACTACAGTGAGAACTGAAGCCACTTCATTCAGCCACTCCTAGCACAGAGAAAAGAAAAAATAAAAGAAAGAAAGAAAAGAAAAACTTAAACAGAAGGTGGTAACTGGTGGCAGTTTCACTAGAACCAGTCCCACTATGAGAGAAGCACCGTTGGAATCCAGAGAACTTACAGTCACAGTGAATCTGGTGGCTGGCAAGCTAAAACGCTTCAGCAGGGAGACACAGTGGTGGAGGGGAGCAGCAGACCAGAGAACTGCACAAGCTGGTGGTGGGTGTGGGGGACTCAGTCCTCCTGCAGAAGCGGGTGATTGGCTGGGCCCCATTTTGGAGTTGGGCAGAATAAGCCCGGAACCAGAATTGCAGCCAGCTTCATTCAGCCACTCCTAGCACAGAGCAGACTTTGGGAAATTGCTTGGACTGAGTCACATCACTGTGCATCGTCCATTAGCCCCCGTGAAGGTTTCCCTAAAGCTATCCCTAACCAACCCTGCCCACCGGCACATACTAACGTGGTGAAGACTCCCTGTGGTTAACCAGCTCAGAAGGGAAGGGCCAGCCTGATTCACCCCTGCTTACACTCCAGTAGTCACCAGCAGATTGGGAAAAGCAGCGCACAGCAGAAATCCCTGGCCAACACACTTCAGAGTAATTTTAATATAGGAAGTGCCAGGGATCCCATTACCCACTTGTCCAGAAGAAACCAAGTACATGAAAAGAGGAAGAAACAAAAGGCAGTCTCTAGCCTCCATTGCAAGCAGTCCTGGCCCAGGAGATGTAAACATAGAAGAGATCGGGAGTTGCATACCTGAAGTTTCTGAAGTAACAGCAACTGAAATAAAGAAACAACTTCATGAAGCTATAAGAACAGAAATACTATTACAGGTAAAAGAAGATATAAGAAACATAATCAAACAATTGCTAAGCACCCCTGAAGAAGACACAAATGGAAGAACAGAGGAGCATAGAAAAAGGAGGGAAACCTTCAATGAAGAATATAAAAAAATTTAGAATACATAAAACAGGTTCAAAGAGATTACCAGAAAATTAAAAACGCCATTGAAAGCTGGCAAAACTGCTTGAAAGAAACTAAAGATAGACTATCGAACCTTGTAGACAGGTTTGCAGCTTGGAATTGTGAAAGAAAAGATCTCTTAAAAATGACAAGGAATCAGGAAGTAACAATACAAAGGCTAGAAGATGACAAGAGGATCTATAACTTAAGAATTAAAAATGTGAATGAAGAAGCAGGGGTAAACACATAGGAAATAGAAAGGCTATTCACAGAAGTAAGTAAGGAAAACTTCTCAAGCATAAGAAAAGGAAATAATATTCAGATAAAAGAGGAATACAGAACTCCAGCCAGCTATAACCAAAATAGATCTATACCCAGAGATATAATAATTAAGATCCCAGAGATTCAACACAAGAACAGAATATTAAAAGATGTCAGAGAAGAGAATCAGATGATCTATAAAGGAAAACCATCAGAATCATGACAGACTTCTCAACACAAACCATAAAATCAAGAAGAGCTTGGAGTGAAGTATTCCAAGTTCTGAAAGAAAATAATCTCCAACCCAGATGGATGTACCCTGAAAAACTATCTCTCAAAATTAATGGAGAAACAAGATGCTTCTATAACAAAGAGGAACTGGGGGAATTCATGACCAGTAAACCAATCCTACAAAATATACTGAAGGACATGCTAGAAAGAAAGAAAAAAGACCACGGTTTCATGAACAGTGGCAGAGGGGGTTCACTGAACAGGGAAGACAGTGGACTGAAGGGGCAAAGTAGACAACCAGTGGTAGAAAAATAGCATGACAGAGATGAGGCAGAGAAGGTTGGCCATAATCACTAATATAGATGGCCTCGATACACCAATAAAAAGACACCCAGGCAGAGTGGATCAGAAGATAGGGTCCATCAAAGTGCTCTATATTAGAAATATATTTAACCTGAGAGAGGGTTTATACACTGAAAGTCAAAGATGAGAAAGCAATGCTCTATGGGACAGGGAACCAGAAAAAAAGTGGGAGTAGCTTGACTATCAGCTGTAGATTGGTTGGAAAGCCATGACGCTTTTATTCAATGGAAAACTGCTCAGTTATAAAGAAAGAAAACCTTGAGGCTCTTGTAGGTAAACGGATACAACTTGAGATAATGCTCAGGTGTAAAAAGGTTCAGAATTACTTAGGAGAATAGCAGGTTGTCTCTCTAATTTAAAACTAAAGGAGTTAGTGAGAGAATGTACAATGCACCCTGTGAACATGAAAGGGGAGGAATTGCCTAAATAGGGAAGGCAGTGGCCATGGTTAATCTTGTATCATGATTTGAAACCCATATTGTTTTCATGGCTCTGTTTAGTTTGATCTTATTCTGTTCCAGTTTGTCTACTTGTACTAGATTTGATGGCACGGACAGCTATTCCAAAGATAGCAGGATATATTATGGTAATCATGTTTAATATCCTATTAACTTGATTTAAAGCCTTGTATTGGTTTCACTGTCTTGTTTTGACTGGTTTTATTTGAATCTGTTTTATTTGATAGTATCAAGTCTGAGGGTACAGGCAACTACTTTGAAGACAGTAAGATTCACTATGATACCCATTCTGGTTTGACTATTATCTTTTTTGAAGTTCTTCAATGTCTCCAATGTTTTGTTTTTATTGGTTTTGTTCTGTACTATTGTGTTCAATTTTATTATGCCTGATGATATGGGCAATTCCTTTGAAGATAACAAGAGGCATTATGATAACCATTGTTGATTACCTTGTATTTGTTCTTAAGTCATGTACTATGTCCATCCTTTTATTTTGACTGACTCTATTTTGTTTTGTCTCATTTGGTTTTATTCTCTTCAAAAAAAACCTAACAAGTAAGGATTTCAGGTAAGTAGTGCTAAGATTTGAGAATCAAAGGCTTTTCAAACTCTCAAATTGCATCACTTTGGTGCTTCTCACCATATGTCATGGTTTATGCTGGTGGCCCCCAGGCCTCATGCTTTGCATTATGCATTTGTGATTGGTTCACTGTATAGTGCATGGATTGATGGTGTCAGTGCTACACCCACCTAGGGGTGGAGCCAGGATGTGATGTAATGGCAGGAAGAAGATGTGTCTTGCTCTCTTGATGGTTTCTGCCTTGCTGTTTGCAGCTGCCATGAACTGTGGCCATGCCATGCCACCCCGCCTTGGAGCCAACTGAGTATGGACTGAAACCTCCAAAAACTGTAAGAAATAAATCTTTCCTTTCCCAACTTTGGGCTTCAGGTGTTTTGTCTCAGCAGTGAGTAAAAAGTAACTAAGACACCATATTGACAAATAATCACACCTAGAAGGACATCCTTTAAGACTGTGTCCACTGTGCCCCAAATTCTGCAAGCAACAAGTTCAGGCGGGATTAGTCAGAAGAAGTGGCGGTGATCACCAGTGGAAACTCTCTTTCCTGCTAAAACAGTGGATTAACAACATGTGCTACATGGGTTGGGAAGATGACTGAATTAGTTAGCTTAGAATTAAATCACAATTCACTCTTGCTTCTCACAGGGGTAGGAGAGACGAGAAACAAAGCAGTGAAGGAACAAACCTGTACCTGGTGGCTTAATTAACTCATACTCATTTCCAAGCTGTAACTCATAGTCTGTATTCTTTCAATATGTTCGTGACATCTTAGGTGTTCTCCAAGGAACAAAACCATTGTATGGAAGAATTGTTATATGACACAGGGCTGCTATTTCCACTACTGTGGAGCCTGCCAGAATGGGCTCGGTGAGTCGAGAGGAAGTGGGACCATTTTTCTTTGCTTGGAAATCCATGGAACGTCAGACAGACTCATTTAGACAATGTCTCAAAACTTCTATTTCAGGATCTATGACTTAATGTAGCACAGAACAGAAAGGAAGGAGTTGAGCTTGGAGGTGAGTGAATCTATATGACAAATCTTGTACTACAAGTGTTTGTGGTTAACTGAGAAACATTATGAGTCAAGCCTTGGGAAAGAGGTAAGTAATTAAAGACAAATGCTATGACATAATCATTTACATGCAGCACAAAGATTTTAGATTAAATCCGGCCTGACCCACTGCTCAGCAAGTGTTATCATGGATTCTTGAGCAGTATCCCTTTATTTACTTTCTAATTTGGCCCATATGTTTTATGGAAAACAAAGGATTTTGTATTTCCCGTAGGAAATAGCCCGAGTCCGGCAATGGTTAACAAGGTTGGTGTATTCGGGAAAAGATCTCTCTTGTGTGCACCAACAAACCCAAGGAAAAATGAGTCAGCTCGAAAACACCTCATTTGAAATAAGCCAAGGAAGTTTGCTGTGAGCACGTTTTCTGACATGAATCCTCCTGTGCTCGCAGGGGTTACTGTGCATATTTAGGTAATTCAGTGAAAATTAGCCCAGTAATTTTGTCACAATAATACAAATCATAGTCACTGCCTGTTTGTACTTTGCAACTCTTGAGTTTTCCCACAACAGTGCAACACACACACACACACACACTCACATGCACCTTGCCCGGCTCCTTCCTGTGTGTCAGTCACCATCTGTATCAGTATCTTGTCAAGAAACCCATCTTTGGAGCAAGATGCACATTCCGGCCTCCTTCCTCTCTGAATCCTAGTGCTCTAATGTAAAACATGCCATCTCTCAGAGATGGCTGCCTGGCTTTCCAAATGCTATTAAATTTTAGCTGCTGCTTTTATTAAATACAGGAAACAGGAGGGGTAGGGAATGACAGAGAGGCCCGAAGCAGGAGCTTTTAGTCTTTTTATTTGAGTAGAGTGGAACTGTTAAGTTAAGGCAGGTTTTCTCCAAAATAAAACAATAGTGGGTGCTGTGGTGAGCTCACTCAGTCCCCCCGAGTGTAGTGTAATGCTAAAAGAGCCTACGCTGTAGATTCATGATGGGAAAAAGAGAAATCATGGAAACGAGAAACAATGAAGCTTAGAATTCAGGGTCTACGTCCCTTGTAAGACAATTTCTGTTATCAAGCACTTGGCCACTTTTCTGTTCTGTTGCAGAGTAAAGAATGAATGCACAGTCTGAGGGAAAAAGAGATCTTATTGGATAAGAAAGATGAGTGAACACCAGCATTTGGTGCTGCAGGTGAGCAGAACAGAGGTAACTGCATGACTGGAGTTGGTGGTGAAGAGAGCACGAATTTACAAACCAGCTACTGTGTTCCTGAGGGTTTGCACATTTGCAAACATGACAGATGCGCAGAAGGGCCAGGAGCCCCCAGGTAGAGCTTTTAAGATTATCGTGTGAATCCACGAGGAGTGTCTTTGGATGTGGACTCACTTGAGCTTATTTCTTGCACCAAGGTTGAAAACGTTCATGTAACTATTGCTACACTGAAGAGGCAAGAGCAACTGCAGGAATATGCTGCAGTTTTTGTCTCGGGTTCTTCTGACTGGTTTTGCCTTTGCTCTCACCCTTTCTGATTATTCAAGCTTATACTATGCATCACTGAGGAAACGGGAGCCCTATAGGAGTCACAGCTTTCCCTGTCCACGTGTTACTATGGAGCCTGTTTTGTGGGGAGAGAAGTGACAGGGTCCAGGTTCAAGGTGGAGAGTTCACAGCAGAACTGGATGGGAGGCTTAGCACCATGCCTGTGTGGGCAGCCTGCTGTTCTGGTTCCCACCTCCCTGGCTGCAGGAGAGGAGGCTGCCTCTTGTCTCCCTGCTGTGTCACTTAGCACCTTCCTCCCTGGCTTCCCTCAAAGCCACTGTGTGTTAAAAAGCTTCCCCTTGTCACTTAATCTGTACCAGGGAAGGAGAGGACTGGCATCCATTCTTGGCCTCAGTTATCTGGGGTTCTTTTTCCAGTGCATCTCCAAGCAAGTGGCCTGTCCTGATCCCTGAGGTCTCACCTTAGCCTCTGAAGTGAGTATAGTGTGACTTTTTTTCAGTGTTCCCTGCCATATCTCAGGAAGGAACACATACACAGAAAGAAACAGAGAGAGAGAGAGAGAGAGAGAGAGAGAGAGAGAGAGAGAGAGAGAGAGAAGAAAGAAAGAAAGAAAGAAAGAAAGAAAGAAAGAAAGAAAAAGCAAGGGAGCCATGGTCATTCTTGTGTTTACACATGACCTCTCAAGCTGCTTGGATTGGATTGTTACTCCTGCTTATTTGTTGAAATTAATAAAGAAAACAAGGGCTGCATCTCACAAGTATCTTTAAACATAAGGACTTGCGTTTCACACCGGGAAGCCAATTTCACACAGAGCTTTCCTATTTTAACATTTAAGATCAAAGCAAAAACTATCACCTAAGCAAACTAGGAGTTTTGAAGGCATTAAAATCTAAAACTGGCACCAACTTTGGGTTTTTCTGTTATTCCCTTGTTGCAGTGTTTAACCACTTGATTTTTTATGTGAACACACATGGATGCTCACAAAACATCAGAAACAGAAAGTTTGGAATAATTAGGACAGGAAACGGGCTAAGGGAGAATGAGTCCTCAGGCTCTGATTTTCTCAGAATCATTCAGCACAGGCTTGGCCATGACTTGGGAAAGTGTTACCTTCTCTACTTCTGGCAAATTTCAAATAAGCAAATTTCTTGTTTCACAAAATTTGTGGAAGAATGCTTAAATGCATGTAAGAGATAACTGTGATAACTCAGACCCCAGAATAAAATCCAAGGAAGCAAGAAATTAAAATTTAGGGAACAAAGGCTTTATTTTAGGCCAGGCCTGGCGACACAGTCTCCAGGAGCCAATTTGGAGACTGCACACCTGACAGCTAAAAGTCAGGGCTTTTATCTTGTAAAACCGCAAACAGCTGCTGGTCTCACAATGCAAGGAGGGGGACTGGGGCGCACTACAGAACAGGAACGCAATTACTTTGGGAAGAGCAAAGTTCAGATAAATGTTGGGCTAACAAGTCTCCCTGCATAAAAGCAAGTTTAGATTGGGCAAACATCTTTTTTCCCTCAGCAGAGAATAGAGAAGTCTAGCAGTAATTAACAACCCCTGTTAGCTTATTTTAGCACCACATCTGTTATTTGTAGAAGGCAACAATGGTTAACATATCAATTAGTTAGATTTTACAATTTTTACAGAGGAGAGCATTTCTCACAGAATAGCACATTTTATTACAGATAGCTGGATGAGGGGTAGGGAAGGGGGTTGCAGGAAACTGAAACCTAAGGCTTTTACAGCTTTCTCAGGAAATAGAAACTTAACCTAGAAAGACAGGAAGGGAGGGAGGGGGCCGAGTGGCGCATACAGAACAGGAATAAGGCGCCATGGTTAGAACTAGGCTATAGCAATAACCATAGGAGAACACACTGCATTGCTTATATTGTACTGTTTCGTGTTCTCCAAGCCACTGCCCAGGTTTCAGGTTGTCGTCTCACATGGACTTGCCTTTGAATATTATAAACTGCTCATCTACACAGTACTCTGTATTCATTGCGTCTCCACAGTCCCTACATCATCGTAAAGTTAGCCCAGATAAATTCATCATCTGAGCTCCCAAGGGAGCTAAAAGCTGACTTTGGTGGTGGTGGTGTGTGTGACAGTACAGGTGGGTTCCGAGGCTCTGGGACAGTGTGAGACTTGTTAGCCAGTGAGGTCCAGCTGGCTGTGACCCTGCTGAGAGAAGTCACGGAACCTGATATCACACACAGGTTCTCACTGTGAGTGACGTGGGGTAGCACCTTTTTCACAAGAGTGTCCAGGTCACTTCTTGATGTTCCATGAAATCTAATGCTGAATACCTGTAACTGTGCATCTGTGATGCTCCAGATTTCATGCAGTTTTATGTAAAGTGTCAGAACCCACGTTCCACAAGAATAGTGCTTTTGGTTTCCAAATATCCTGTATCTTCTTACAGTTTTAGAACCACTGGCTCGCTTTGGAGTACCCAGCAGACCACAGTGTTTGACGTCCACTTGGAGGTTCCCACTCCCCACTTGAGTGCCCTCTTTCTCCTCTTCTTCATGTTAACTGAATCCAAAATTTTATTCTTGGTGAGCTCTGAGAAAAAGCTCGAAGTCAGTCTCCAGAAGTGTGGGGTGGGCTAGCTTCTGCCTCTCTTCCGTAGAATGATGACTGCCTGGCCATGTGGGGCTTTTTATGCTCCTAAATCACCACGGAAAAGCCCAGCTGACTCTTCTCTTACGTGATCGATCCCACGACCAAGGGGAACTGAATTGCTGCTTCCCCAAGGGGCAGAAGGCTTATAGCTGGAGAATCGTCTTTTGTGCTTCCTTGACCAGCAGCAAAATTATAACAAATGACAACAACCCAGAGGAGGCGGGACTAGTGTGGACTGCAGGTTCATGTCACCCTAACAGGGAAAGAACTAAATTAGCTGAACAAACAACATGAACTAATGAAAGTGGAACAAAATTATTATAATATCTACTATGGCCTCACAGGTTTTGTAGAAACAAAGAATGGAACAGACATCCCTGCTTACCCTGCGGTGCTCATGACAGTCACAGTCTCCTTCTTCTCTATTATTTTATATAAGGGTCCCTGCATTGTTGGAGCCTGATGAGGTCTAGTGTTTGAGTTACAGGTCATGGAGGCAGGATTGTGACTGAGTTGTAAAAACAGTTGACACCTCCCAGGATGGGTACCATGCTGTGCCTCGGGGACAGAGGTGTTAACTGGTGGGACTCTGTGTTTCCTCTTCTTGGAAAGAGATTGACTGAGATTCCATCTATAAAGGATGATCAGATTGTATTAGAGGAATGTACACAGATTTTCTTGCATTATGTGAGTTTTTGCAGAGGTAGAAGGGACGAACACACAAGAATACGAATTGGAAAGTGCCACTTCTTCAGCTCTGGTCTCATGTTCCACGTTACTGCTCTGCATTCTGCTCTGAAGATACAGCAAGGTCCTTCCAGAATGGTGCTCTGATCTCCAGAGCACGGCCTGATTGACAAGTAGGGTGGGAGAACATAGGTCACTGAGGGCGTGGTCCTGAGGGATTGTCGGAGCCTGGCTCTTCCTCGTCATCTCTCACTTCCTGTTGTGAGGGGGATGACTTTGTTCTGCCACACATTCCTGAGATGGACTGACTCACAGACCCAAAGCAATGGAACAGTCAGCTGTGACAAAAACCTCCAGGCTAGGAACGAAAGCAACTTTTTCCTTAACTAAGATGATTTATTTTAGGCATTTGTTACAGTAGAAGAAAACTGCATAACACAAAGGGTTCAAAGATAGACAGGGAGGAGGAGTGGGGAGAAAAGATTTGCTCCTTCCCCTGCCAGTGTCCCCTAGACTGCCCTCTGCTTCCAGGCAGCAGAGTAGGGTGGAGTCTTAGTCTTTAGTTTTCCAAGCTCCGTCTCATAGAGTCCTCTTGGGCACCCAATAAGAGACCCAACCTAATCTCCTGGGTCTGGATCCAAATCAGGGGACCTTTCTTTGAGCACCAGATGAGAGGCACTCCATCTTCATGGGCCGGAGCCCCTACTGCATGAGTTCTCTCCTGTGTTCCTTGGGAGTCTGTTCAAGCCTGTCCTCAGAGATCAGTGCCCAATTCTGCAGGACCTCTGAACTCTCATCCCCACTTCCTTTGTCCTGCCCTGCTCGCTGCTGATGGTTACGAGGTCTGTGTTCTTTGATGTCCCCCTTTTGCTTTGCGTCTTCCAGCACCTGTTTAGCCAATTCCCTGAAGTGTGATATGTTATCTCTGTTAAAATATGATTTCTGTTTTCCTAGTCAGACTGCCTGGAAAAAAGTGATAATTGCTTTAAAGCCTTTTACTTGAAAAAAGGACAGAAGGGGAAGTAACCTCAAGAGGTCAGCGACCCATGGCTCAGACCATCTACCTGGCGATGGAAACCAGAACTTCCAATACCAACAGCAGAGTGACCTTTTAAGCTACTTGCCCTTCAGGTCCAGTGTTGTCCTCTGGAATATTTCCCTGTGCACTTTCCCAGAAATCCTACGATTCTCTGCTTTCTCTTGGAGATTATTCGTGGACATGGCGATTTCATCAGAGAACAAGAAAGACCTCATTCATTAGTGTTTTGTCTTTGTCTAAACACAAAATTCACTAATGACCTTCATCATATTTTTATCTATTTTATTCACTCAGTTCTAAGGGCTGCTTTCCTGAGTCACAGTCTATGAGCTGGCAATTTAGTGTGTACATTTTTCCTTGCCAGCCAGAGACCTCAGCCCTCTTACTGATGTGCTCTCCGTGCTTTAGATAGTGTCAAAGCATAGCACAGAGTGGGGCAACACTCTGGGCACTGCATTGCCATGGGAAGAGGAGACCACAGTTTGGGACAGGCTGCTACTCTGATGTCTGCACTGGGTAGGCAGGCGATGCTTCAGCATCAGCATGTCAGGGGAGACACTGAGCTGACAGTGAGACGGGGAAAGGAACAGTCCAGGTGGTGGCAAGTCACAGAAGTATGACAGGTAGTGATCAGTCCACAGAACCTGCCCTCCTCAAAGATAATTCAAGTTCAAGCCTAGACTTTCTCTTCTGTTTTCCTCCTTAGGGATTCACACAACTAGGAATTAAGCAGCTTTCCTTTTTCAATTCTGGAAATAGATTGATTCTTTTTAATCGCTGTTTCTGGGCTGTCAGGATAGCTGCACCCTTCCTCACAATCTTCTGCTCCCTAGAGTCCATGGATATTGTAAATATTCTTCTGTGGGATGGGAGCACTTGATCAGTGTCTAAGGATCATTTATTCTATGCATGAGCTAAGTGATTTCAGCGTCTTTAACAGCATATGCGCTGCATACACATTGTGGTAGCCGAAATAGTTCCTGTGAGTTTAGTTATTTCATGGGGATATTGAAACAGGAGAGAATGAGCATGGAGACCCCAGGGGTACACAGCAACAGTATTTTTTGGTACCAGGAGTTGAACTTAGGACACTTGCTCTTGCCAGGCAGGTGCTGTGTCACGGAGCTACATCCCCACCCAACACACTGCAAAGACTCATAACCTTGATATGTTGAGACTTACTCTCAAAGCAGTGGCAAACCTGTGAAAGCTCTAAGGGAAGTAACATGAAGAATCTGAATTTTAGAGTCATTCTGGCACCAGTGAAGACAACCAAAGAAAGACAAAAAGTTTATAAAAATTCACAGTAAGCTGAATTATGCCCATAATTTGTTTTACAAATTTTCATTATAATAAGTGGTATATAGTATGAAACTTGTTTC